GCACCCCCCGCTCCCAGGGCCCGTTTCGATTCCTCCGCTCCGATCCGATCCGATCTCGATGGCTTCCGCTTCCACTTCGATTCGGCCTTGGGCTCCGATCCCGATGTCTCAGCGGAGGCCTGTCGGCCTGCCGATCGCCGAGCCGGCCGCTCCCGACTCGGCTGCCGATTCCTGCCGAGCCGATTCCTGCCGATCGCCGATCCGAGCTGTCGACTCGATTCTGGGGGTCTGCTGCCCTGCCGTCCCCTCGTGGAAGTGGACTTTGGCGGTTTTTTGGGCGCCCCGGATCCCAGGGCTTTGCGCCCTCTCTTGGCCTTGACGTGAGGCCCCTCCTCCTGTTTTCCTCCCTCTGTCAATTCAAGCTGTGCGCGGCCCGCTCAGCTTCGACCGGAAGAGGCTCGCGCTCGACCGGCGGATGAAGAAACTGTTTTTTGGGCGCCCGGTTCGAGCCAGTGGAGTCTGCCCCACAGGACGCACTGCTGCAGACGGTCGCACCAAGCAAGCAGAGGTCCGAGGCCAGACTCCCCCCCCTGTCCCCTCCCCCCCCCCGCCCAGTGTCGAAACGCCGAAGGAGAAAACGTTCACGCGGTCAATGCCCGTTCAGTAGCCAACACGTGCTTGCTGCTGCTGCTGCTGCTGCTGCAGCAGCGAAAGTGGTACCACGGGGCGCGCTGAGATCGAGGGGGAGTCACAGTGAGACGAGGACGGCGACAAGAAGTGGGAGAACGATGACGATGATAGGGAGTAGGTTAGGAAGGAGAGTAAGGAAAATAATGCGAATGAGGGGGAGGAGGACGAGGTTGAGAAGGATGAGGAGGAGGACGAGGAGGAGAGAAGATGGGCCAGGAAATGCTGGAAGAAAAAGAACAGGAGGACGAGGACGATGATCAGGGGGAGAAAAAAGAAAATGACGAGGACAAATAGCAGGAGAACGAGAAGGAAGAGGAGGAGGAGGAAGTGGAGGAAGAAGAAGAGGAGGAGGAGGAGCAGGAGGAGGACGAGACCGAGGATGACGAGGATCAGGACGATGGCGAGAGATAGGGGGAACGAGGAAGGAGGCTGGAGAAGAGCAAAAATGATGAGGCGAGGACGGGGGACAAAAAGTTAGGGAGGAGGAGGAGGAGGAGGAGGAGGAGGAGGAGGAGGAGGAGGGAGGAGGAGGAGGAGGTGGAGAAGGAGGAGGAGGAGTAGGAGGGGAGGAGGAGAAGGAGGAGGAGGAGGAGGAGCAGGGCGGCGGCGTCGGTGGGGTCGAGGACTGGCACGGACGAGTGCCTCTTGGGCTCCCCGCGGCCCGAGGAGCGTCTCGTTTCCCTCCGCGAGCCTCCTGGACGGCGTCGAGCAGCGGCGCCGGGCCACGAAGGTCCTGACGGAGATCCAGTGCCTGGATTCGCAGGCGCGGCCGCGGCGTGGACGGGGCCGGACTGGTGGAGTTGAGGGGGAGGAGGGGGAGGAGGAGGAGGAGGAGGAGGAGGAGGAGGAGGAGGAGGAGGAGGAGGAGGAGGAGGGGAGGAGGAGGAGACGGAGGTGGGGGAGGAGGAGGAGGAGGAGGAGGTGGAGGTGGAGCAGGAGGAGAAAGAATAAGAAGAAGGCGAAAAAGAAGAGGAGGAGGAGGAAGAGGACGAGAGTGATGGTCAGGGGCACCGCCCCGGGCTTGATCTCTGGGTATGCGAGAGCCGTGGGACGGGGGTCAGTGCAGACGGGGGTCAGCCAGAGCTCCGGAGCTTGCAGGATCCTGGAGGGCCAGCGCTGCACTGACGCGGGCTAGCGCGCAGGATCTTGCAGGATTATGCAGGATTTTGCAATGCCAGACTGCTCTGGGTTTGCATGGACCCGCGAGTGCATTTGATCTCTAAGCCATGCATTGTGCTCCCTGCCCCTGGAACGAGCAGGTACTACAAACGTAGGTACCTGCTCCAGGGCAGGGGGCCCAACGGCGAACGGCTTGGGGCGAACCCAGATCGCCCAACGCCCGTGCGACGTGCCAGGCAGCGCTAGCTTTGCGACTGGCCCTGGCCGAAAGGGTGGGCCTGGCGTGTTTGCTCTGCTGTTGTAGTCTGCCGTGCAATGCACGGCTGACTGCGTCTTGCGCTATATCATCTTTTACTGTACTGGCCCTCTGCCCTGTCTTTTTCAGCGCAGCTCGTCGTGACCGCGAAACCCGCGAAACCCTCCTCCTCCTCCTCCTCCGCCTCCTCCTCCTCCTCCTCCTCCTCGTCCGCCCTCCTCCTCCTCCTCCTCCTCCTCCTCCTCCTCCTCCTCCTCCCTAACTTTTTGTCCCCCATCTTCGCCTTATCATTTTTGTTCTTCTCCAGCCTCCTTCCTCGTTCCCCCATCGCTCGCCATCGTCCTGGTCCTCGTAATCCTCGGCCTCGTCCTCATCCTCCTCATCTTTTTCTTCCTCCACTTCCTCCTCCTCCTCCTCCTCCTCCTCCTCCTCCTCCTGCTGATCCTCCTCCTCCTCTCCCTCCTTCTCCTCCTCCTCTTCCTCTCCTCCTCCTCCTCCTCCTCCTCTTCTCCTTCCTCCTCCTCCTCCTCCTCCTCCTCCTCTCCTCCTCCTCCTCCTCCTCCCCCTCCTCCCCTGCTCCCCCTCCTCCTCGTCGTTCTTCTTCTTCTTCTTCTTCTACTACTCCTCCTCCTCCTCCTCCTCCTCCTCTCCTCCCTCCTCCTCCTCCTCCCCTCCTCCTTCCCTCCTGCTCCTCTCCTCCTCCTCCTCCTCCTCCTCCTCCTCTCCTCCTCCTCCTCCTCCGCCTACTTCCCCTCCTCCGCCTCCTCCTCCTCCCCTCCTCCTTTTCTACTCCGCCTCTTCCTTTTCCTCCTTCTCCTTTTCCTCCTCCTTCTTCTCATTCCCATCCCCCTCCCCCTCCCCCTCCCCTCCCCCTCCCCCCAGAATCCGAAGAGTCAGAGGAGGGAGATGTATCCTTACCGCTTCTCTTCCCTCGTTTCCCATCTCTGGGCCTCCTGGGAGGCCCTGGTCGCCACCGCTGGATTCGCCTCGAAGTCCTGGTCCGAGCGCACCCTGGGAGAGGTCCGGGGAGTAGCAGTGTCGGTACCTTTTGGTTGCCCCAAAGGGAGTCCTGATCAGGGGCAGCGTTCTGGCGTTTTCGTCGGCTCTCCGCGGTGTTCCAGCCTCGCGGGTGCCACCCAGCGGCTGCGCCTCTCGCCGAGCGTTCCAGGAGTGCCCGGAACGAGGGCAGGATCCGAAAGCCAGGGACCAGGGGCTTGGCATCGCTCGGACGTGTGCATTTTTCCTTCGGCGAGGACCATCGAGGAGCATCATTTTGATCACTTGGCGAAAAAGCCACGCACGAAACCGAAACAAACACAGGAAATGGACGTCCGAGCGATGGCCAGGGGGGCAGCGTTGGGGGTCGGGTTGGGCTAAGGGGGTTGCGCGCCTGCCCCCAATCGCCCACTGATCGCCGATAGGAGCCCGAGAAGGGGCCCCCAATCGCCCATGGATCGCCGATAGGGGGGGGGCCCATCGCCGATCTCTCGGCGCCATGGACCGCCGATTCCAGCTCGCTGTTCCCGCAGAAGCCAGCCCCCCCGCGTCGCGCAGCGCGGGGCGCGGCGCATGAAGTGGGGCGACCTGCGTCTAGTTGGCTGTTCTGCTCTTGCGGAGGTGCGGGAGGGGGGGAAGAACGGGAGGAATGGAGGAGGAATGCAGGGATGGAGGAGGAGGAGGAGGAGGAGGAGGAGAGGAGGAGGAGGAGATAGGAGGGGAGGAGGAGGAGGGGATGAGGAGGAGGAGGGGAGGGGAGGGGGGGGGAGGGGGAGGGGGAGGGGAGGAGGAGGAGGAGGAGGAGGAGAGGAGGAGGATGAGAATGGAGTTGGAGGAGGAGAGGAGGATGAGGAGGAGGAGGAGGAGGGTGCGAAGATAGTTGCGCATCCCGGGGCGCCATGTGCGGAATTTGGCTGCCCAGCTGCACCTCGTCGCGCCCGCGGCGCTGAGGTGACCGACGTCCTGAGGCAGCAGGCCAAGGCTGGAGATGCAGAGCTGGCCAAGTTTCTGGACCAAGCCTGGGGAGGAGCAGGAGCAGAAAGAGGAGGGGCAGTGCACCACCGCGCTTCCAGCGTACGGTTTGTCGTGACGCGTGCTAGTACCTGTTTGGGGAGTCTGGCCACCTCCTCGGGGTTAGTGGTCACTGGCAGCTGGAAGAGAAACTAGGCTTTTCGGTCCACTTGTGGCTTCCTGTGTGGTGTGTTCTTCGAGTGGGTCTCGAGTTCTTTTTTGTTGTTCTTGCTGTGCTTCTCTCTTTCTCACTCTCTCTCCTCTAGTCGCAGCCACATTGCCGAGGCCACGCCCCGTTCATCCCCCAAGCAGCGAATGCTATCGCAGGGTCTGGGCTGTCTTCGGAGCGCCTCCCTGGAACGTGGAGTGCACGAGACGTCTGCCGCGAGCGTGCCGTGCCGTGCCGTGCCGTGCCGTGCCGTGCCTGGTCGCCGTGCCGTGTAGAGCCCGGACTCTAGACGCCGAGGGAATTGCGGCACGCCGTGGCGCGCCTAGGTTCTGGAATCGGCGACGGGCGAGGGGGGGAAACGAGAAGGCCTTCTCCAAGACTGCTCCAGGAGGCTTCACCCAAGGCCGCTCCAGGTGGCCACGGGGCCTCCCAGGGACGCCCCCCAGGGCCCCAGACGCGTCCGACACCTTCTTCGGGAACATCGATGCTGGCGGCGGCGGGCGAGGGGGGGCGATGAGAAGGAGAAGGCCTTCTCGGGAGGCGGCAGGACTTCCCAGGGCCCTCGCGCCTCCCGAGAAGTTGTCCGTGTCTCCTGGGGAAGGCTCATAAAGCTTCTCAGAAGGCCGGGGGTCTTCCGAGCCTCTTGAGAAGGCACGCCCCTTCTGTCTCTCTCCCCCCCCCTTTAGGGCTCGCCGCCGAGGAAGGGCGAAGGAGGCGGGAGGGAGGGCCAGCTTTGGGGGGGGGAGGAGGAGGGGGAGGAGGAAGGGGGGGGAGCGGAGCAGGAGGAGGAGGAGGAGGAGGAGGAG